GCCACAATCAGGAATAACAATAAAATTTGTACGGCAACTTGGTGCTAAACGTAAAATTGTTACAATTTGCAGCATAGCAAAAAAATTTCCTACAAGCTACTGAAGGAAGCAAAACATTTTTTTCAGTTCTAGGACAAAAAAGCAAAGGATTGTTAACAAAAATTCTGTTAGGGAAAGCGTTGGGAAAAACAACAATTTTCAACGATCTAGAAATAAAAATTAATAAAATTCCACCGCGATTTTCGAGGGTATATAAGCGAAGGCCCAGCACGCGGTTGCTCAGTTACTCACTGCAGGTCGTCGAGGAGGGGCACGTCGTCCTGAAGCTCAGCAGTGACTGCTGCGTGGCCACTAACAGATAACGAACCATGAGGCTAAAGTTATTCGGAACATTTGAACCAAGTAATAACGAACCATGAGGCTAAAGTTATTCGGAACATTTGAACCAAGTAATAACGAACCATGAGGCTAAAGTTATTCGGAACATTTGAACCAAGTAATAACGAACCATGAGGCTAAAGTTATTCGGAACATTTGAACCAAGTAATAATTACGAACCATGAGGCTAAAGTTTTTCGCAGCATTAGGCCCAAGTTATAACGAACACGGTACCAGTAGTGACGGCCATTATAACTAGCAATTACTAACCGCCACTAAACACCATGCTTCTGGCTGTGGGTAAAAGAGTAGTTTTCTTAGTATTTGTTTGGGACGTAGCAGTCCCAGGCCACGATGATGGATCGCCGCCTCTGATTATCGTTGATTATTACTGGCTCTTCTATGGGGCCAGTGGCGATAAGAACCCGAACATGTTTGAATTTATAGGCCAGTGAGGCGGCCAGTAGTAGCTTGTCACAAGATAAACTACCAGCCAATAAAGACAAATACGATTGGTGCAGAGAATTTTTTTTAAGGAAAATTTTAAATGAAGTATTTAATCCGGATGAAATCTGCTGAAACTTTTATTAGCTTCGCCGTTCACAGTAGGTTATACGTTTTGAAATGACGTTTATATTAGGTCTGTACGTTTATATTAGGTCTATAACCTAATATAAATACGTAAATCAATTCACTTTATTTGTGCCATTCTCAATATTTATACCTTTGAAAGGATTGTAAAATTTATTCGTTCTTAATATGCGTTTACTATCGAAAAAAACTTTGAACCCTAAGTTAGGTCACGATGAGTTTCTATAATAATGCCGTTATCCGCTCAAGATTGATGGGCAAGAAAACTAGAAGCCATTAATGGCCTCGTATGTAAGGTTACTGGTTGGTTGAGTTAGTGGCGGCCACTTGTTACCGCCAGTAGTGACTGCCACGAGCAACCCCGCAGCTCAACAGAGACAGAGTGGTAGCAACAGACAGTGACATCAACAGACACCGTTAACATCAGCAACAGAACCACGTTTATAACAACGATGCCGAACATAAAGCAACAAAACAGCTAAATTTTCTGATTAAAAATAAATAACAATTAAAAACACTCGCTCTGAATGAAAAAAATAAGTCATGCCCATATAAAAAAAATACTTTGTACACGAACATTGGGCCAGAGACATCGATTTTAATACATTTAATTACATTTACATTCATTTAATTAAATCGATTTGCTAAAAGGGCTACAAAAAAATTCATAGAAGAGCAAACTTGACATGGAATTCAGGAAACGCAGGTTGGACGGACGTTCGGGAACGGTCAGGAATTTCAACTTACTGGAATTTCAGGAATTTACCAGCGGTCAGGAATTTCAACTCACTTAAATTTCAGGAATTTATCAACGGTCAGGAATTTCAACTTACTTAAATTTCAGGAATTTATCAACGGTCAGGAATTTCATCTTACTTAAATTTTAAGACTTTACCAACGATTAGAAGTTTGAACATTTTTAAACAGTAAGGTTGTTTGATATAATCAAAGAATAAATGGATAAAGTCAACGTTATCATATCCTTGTCTGAGGGTTTATTGTTTGTTAACAAACCCAGGAACGTGCGAGTATACAATCAAATTTTAAGAACAACAAACGTATAAAGGACATCTCCATTAGACCAATTCGACCATCTTCCAAAAATCTACGGAGTGTTATCGCCCCCAACGGGAACATGTATCGCTTATCGTCCCTGGCGACCACACAGCTGGCTATACACCGGCGATGGTTTATCAGAAATTCGTAATTCTTCTTAATAATTGTGCAGCGTGTGTGCGAAATAAAGGGACGAAAGGAGCCATGGGCCTAATAGAATAGAATATAATAGAATTATCGGCACTGAAGAAATAGGCCCATGGCCTGTTGCCGATTCATGAATTTTTCGTGACTTGATTCACAAGGGATCCGGCCTTTGGAACCCGATCTTTCCATAACTGACGATTGGTCGAGATAGCTGCTGGACTTATTGCCCTGTCTCTTATACACATCTAGATGTGTATAAGAGACAGACCTGATAGTATCGTTGACGCTCCGAGTATGAACGCCTTCAAGAACAGACTAGACGAAGCTATGCAGGAGCATATGTTCAGTCTTAAAATGCCTAGCAAATTACGGACCAGGCAATAAGTCCAGCAGCTATCTCAATCAATCATCAGTTATGGAAAGATCGGGTTCCAAAGGCCGGATCCNACAAGGTTACGAAGGAACTGGGTTGTTCAGCATTAACCGTTCACACGGATACAAGGTTACGAAGGAACTGGGTTGTTCAGCATTAACCGTTCACACGGATACAAGGTTACGAAGGAACTGGGTTGTTCAGCATTAACCGTTCACACGGATACAAGGTTACGAAGGAACTGGGTTGTTCAGCATTAACCGTTCACACGGATACAAGGTTACGAAGGAACTGGGTTGTTCAGCATTAACCGTTCACACGGATACAAGGTTACGAAGGAACTGGGTTGTTCAGCATTAACCGTTCACACGGAGACAAGGTTACGAAGGAACCTGTTCGCTGGCATGGCTAGAGCTGCACTTTCTTTCAGGAAGCTCACAAATAAAGGAAGAACCTCTTGCCAGGCAGTAGCCATTAAAAGGAAAGACTGGTTGGGTGCTAGGGTGCAAATTTTGTTCAAATTCGGTTAAGGAATTTGTCAGATGCTTGAGAGTTAGGTTAGAAAATGTTTAGATAAACAGCGCTGCCACAACCCACATGTCATTATAGAACACGTACGTATACACGTATAACACGTACGTATAGAGTAGATTAAAGTAGACATTATAGGTTATAGAGTAGACATGTAGACTTAGAGTGGTGAAGTAGTGAGAGTGAGTAAGGAGATGAAGGCGGGACTGTTATCCCAGTGAAAATTTACTGACGCGGCAGCTTCTGATTTGGATTACCAGAAGCTGGGACGACTCTAAATTTTGTTAGGGTTGGAAATTATCAGGATGTGGATGGTGGTGATCAGGGTGTGGATGGTGCTGATCAGGGTGTGGATGGTGCTGATCAGGGTGTGGATGGTGCTGATCAGGGTGTGGATGGTGGTGATCAGGGTGTGGATGGTGGTGATCAGGGTGTGGATGGTGGTGATCAGGGTGTGGATGGTGGTGATCAGGGTGTGGATGGTGGTGATCAGGGTGTGGATGGTGGTGATCAGGGTGTGGATGGTGGTGATCAGGGTGTGGATGGTGGTGATCAGGGTGTGGATGGTGGTGATCAGGGTGTGGATGGTGGTGATCAGGGTGTGGATGGTGGTGATCAGGGTGTGGATGGTGGTGATCAGGGTGTGGATGGTGGTGATCAGGGTGTGGATGGTGGTGATCAGGGTGTGGATGGTGGTGATCAGGGTGTGGATGGTGGTGATCAGGGTGTGGATGGTGGTGATCAGGGTGTGGATGGTGGTGATCAGGGTGTGGATGGTGGTGATCAGGGTGTGGATGGTGGTGATCAGGGTGTGGATGGTGGTGATCAGGGTGTGGATGGTGGTGATCAGGGTGTGGATGGTGGTGATCAGGGTGTGGATGGTGGTGATCAGGGTGTGGATGGTGGTGATCAGGGTGTGGATGGTGGTGATCAGGGTGTGGATGGTGCTGATCAGGGTGTGGATGGTGCTGATCAGGGTGTGGATGGTGGTGATCAGGGTGTGGATGGTGGTGATCAGGGTGTGGGGGGGGGGAATAAGCAGCGATGGGAAGCGAATAACAAACAACGGTTGGGACATTAAAATCAATATAGCAGGGTCTATATCACAAAATTCCCCCGCAAACGATGAACGTCATGATGATTATAGTGACAATACATGGAAATCGTGATAAAATGACGGCCATTACACAGACAAACACAAATGAGCCAACAAATTCACACACTGCAACAACGTATATCATTTCGTACGTTACAAGAACAAGAATATATAATTTTGGCACATTTTCATCTCAGGACCTGGAAGAAAACAGCCAGGAAAGATGAAGAGCTCGCTCTGTGGGAACACGGCTGGAACAAGTGATGAATAGATTCAGGGAAATTCATTTAATCAATTAATTTAATCACAGCATGAAAGATGAACGAAGGTCTTAATAAATTTGCAGTAATATCAAAACATGTATTAGAACTATACGGTCCAAGCTCTGGAATCATCCAACATTGAATTATAATAAAGTATGACAATAAATGGACGTCATTAGCTACAGTCCCACGAAGATACGCTGTAAGACAGCTGTACAGTCCCACGAAGATACGCTGTAAGACAGCTGTACAGTCCCACGAAGATACGCTGTAAGACAGCTGTACAGTCCGACAAAGATACGCTGTATGACAGTGGTACCCTACTACGAGGACGCACTGCAATAGCAGCGGTACAGTCCCACGAAGAAATGCTGGAAGACAGCTGTACAGTCCCATGAAGATACGCTGTAAGACAGTGGTACCCTACTACGAGGACGCACTGCAATAGCAGCGGTACAGTCCCACGAAGATATGCTGTAAGACAGAGGTACAGTCCCACAAAGATATGATGCAAGACAGCGGTACAGTCCCACGAAGACGCACTGCAGCGTAAGTAATATCGTACCATGAGGAAGCACTGTATCCAGCTCCTAAGGTTCATGGGGAGCAGCACGTCTATCATGTCCATGTCTTTGGAGAACCTGTTGACGATGCGTCCTATGGGCGTCATGTCGAAGAACGACATGGCGCTGCGCATGATGTTGGTGAGCATGCGGTAGTGCAGGCGCCAGCTGCCCTGTATGGTGGCCTTCACCATCACCAGCGACGCCGAAAACACGAATAATACTGCGCGGTAATTGCCACGTATCGGGTTAGGTCCACTAGGCCGTTACGAGGATAGGCAAGAAAATTACCACAGCGGGTTTTAGTGTCAGAAAACCCCTAGTGGCCAGAGAACCACAAGTGTGGAACCCACAATGCGGGGGTTTCGGCCAGAAAAACATAAGTGAAGTGCTTTGTAGGTGACAGAAAATGTGAGGCTTGACCAGAAAACCTCTAGCGTGGAGCTTGACCAGATAACTACGAGTGGCCACACACGTGAACAAACCACATAAGCCTCTTCAGGTTTGTGGGTGTAGATTAGCAACTACAAATTTTGGGTTTACTCAAAAATTTACAAATGTTAGGATAGGTCAGAGAACCAAACGTGCAGGGTTAGATTGTACCGGTAGCTGCGACACATAAAATATTTATCTTATCAACCTTCGTAAAATGTAGGTAAAATATTGCAAAAACTACAAGCATAGAAGACAACTCACCTTGCCCGGCGCCCAGTCCTCCATAGACCCCAAGATACTTGTCCCTGACGGCGGGCTCCATGGAGCTAGCGTCCTCTGACCACATGGAGAGCCAGATGTTGGACATGACCATGCAGGCCTGAGAGCCCACGTAGAAGCAGGTGGTCAGGATGGTCACCAGCACGCCGATGGCCTTCATGTAGTAGCCGTACACCGTCCATGTCACCTGCACGGCTCTCATCGTCAGCTCGCCCGTGAATAGTGGATTACATGGATGGTTGGNTATTTCCCAGGGCGCCTCCTGCGGCGTCTCGCTGTACTCCTTCACGCGCTCCACGGACACAATGTTTGTCTCCACGTCTGACGTCATGCGCACCAGCCAGTTCAGCGTTTGTGTTACCTACACAAACATGACAAGTAACATGATAAGTAACATGATAAGTAACACGATAAGTAACATGATAAGTAACGTCCGTACCAGCCAGTTCAGCGTTTGTGTTACCTACCACAAACATGATAAGTAACATTATAAGTAAGGTCCGTACCAGCCAGTTCAGCGTTTGTGTTACCTACCACAAACATGATAAGAAATGCTAACCTTAATTAAGTCAAGGTTTTGGCACTTCTACATCAAACAATCTCCAAGAAATATCATGTAATAATAAGGCCATTCCGGCCCGGAACACCGAATTATAGCAAGAAAAGACAATGGCAGTCGTGGGCTCGAGGCTACGAGCCCCCTATCGTCCTGCTGGTAATGGGCGAGTAGAAGGAGTCAAGCGAACAACGAGCGATGTGGCTGATATTTACAAGAAAGAGCGCACGACTTGTTGCATTATTTCTCACTCTAAGTACAAATACAAAACTGCCAGGTAAATGATAATTAAATTAATCTTCGGCATGAACATAATCTCCATACTGTTAGCCCGCGCACACGCATGACGTGAGAGTATACTACTACTCTCTACTTAATCCGGGAGCGCGCTTAACGGAGAAATGTTTCGAATGTGAAAGAATACATACAGTGAATGTGAAAGAACATTCACATTTAATACATACAGTGAATGTAAAATGAGAAAGCAAAACCGTTTATTGTGTGCAGAAGCCAGACGATAGCAAAATGTTTAAGAAACTATCATTCAGCTACAACTCCCTCATTTCAATTACCGGATCATGGGTAATTAGAACATCTTAAATTGTAAACACGAGGTTAAGTCAGCGTGAACATGAAATAACCAATTTGACGAATCATACACATGAATTATATGAAGTTCCCTTTGTTCCTCCAAGCTTCAAACGACATCGCGTACAAACATAAATATTAAGCCAAGAAAAGTTGATGCAAACTTTCCTCATCATAAACTTTGCAACGATATACACGCACACAAACTAATATTGGGCTGGGGCCATACCTGTCTCTTATACACATCTAGATGTGTATAAGAGACAGGTCATGAATAAACATGGCACTCATAAGCAGTCATGAATAAACATGGCACTCATAAGCAGTCATGAATAAACATNTAGTAGCTCACTAGTTACTAAGAGTAGTATTATGACCAGGCAATGGTTACAAGTAACCACAAGCGAACCTGTTAGCCACGACGCTGGGGTAGTAGCTGATTTGGTTGGTGTCCACCTTCAGTTCAGAGTCCTGAATGAAGTCGGCTTGTTTGGAGTACGCCCTGATGGTGGCAGCGCCTTCAAGTGGCAAGTTTGATGGTTAGTCAATTGAAATAAAGTGTCTTACTGAATAAATAGTAGATAAATAACTCGTTGAACGCAGTCACGCTCTACGAGCTAGTTTAAAACTGGTTTATTCTTCAAGTTAGATCTTTTCGTAATGTTTCTGAACGAAAATATCCTTTAAAAAAACAATTATATTGCCAAGTGACGACTCGTTTCATTACAGGAGACAAATTGTCGAAAGGCAAATTACATTTAATCGCTCAGCATTTGAATATTAATTGATTCCAGTCCCAAATGCCAGAAATAAATTTGAAACACGGATTTTTCGGATGTTTACACAATCAACAAATCTGAACACCGCCATGAAGGGACGCCTAACTTGAAACATGTATTTCCTCCACATAATGTACATGTTACCCTGCACGGTCTCCCCGAAGTGCGAGTATATGGGTTCTCCTATATAATGTACATGTTATACATGAATCTCAACACCACCATGAAGGCTCACGTAACTAGAAACATGCATTTCCCCTACATAATGTACATGTTACCCTGCACGGTCTCCCCGAAGTGCGAGTATATCGGGGAGCGCGACACGGACTCGATGCGCTTGAGCTGCCGCGATGTCGCTACGTACACCGCCTGCGAGCCAAATGATTCATGAATTAAAAATTAATTAATTAAATTACATGACTAAAAGTTTAACTAATGATGAAAAGTCTAGACCTCCTCAATAAGAATTATTCTCTAAGAGAAATGAGTGGGACTTTTTCCAAGCTGCGAGGCATTGTTTGCCCTCGGGCATCATTCTGACCCAGTTTGATCAATGCTTCGTGCAGAAACAGTGTCAGTATTTGGCTTATAGAAAACATTCAGTATACTGCAAGTGTATAAACCGAAAACGGGAATTAAAAAAGGAAAAATTTTAAAGAGTCAATTCCAGTTAATCCAACCAGCCGAGAGGGATCTTAAATTACCGCGTCAGCATCCAGACTTAATGATCACAATGCACTTCACTTGACTTAGCAAAGATTATTAAAATACCTGTTCGCTTTATACCCTACCGCCGGCAAATTCACAATTTATGTCAGTTACCGCTTCGCACAGTTCTTTTGATGATGAGGCATGCAATCGATGAGGCATGCAATCAATCATCACCGCAATAAAGATCGGGGTCGAGTAAATGATCACGAAGAATGTGGCCACGACCTGAGAGTGCAGGAAGCGAGCATTAAACTTTCATTAGAATGCTTAACACTTGATGTAGTGAAAAAAGTGTTATTTATAGTGATGGCTGCAGAATGATGGGAAATAATGCTGGAGTATTGTCGTTTAAAATGGAAATGATGGGAAATAATGCTGGAGTATTGTCGTTTAAAATGGATACATGGGACCTCGTAAATTTTACGACTAATTTTTCGAGCATCCAGAGATCTATATTACCATTCGTTTTTTTTTCATTCGCACTTAGCAATTGATGATTGTATAATAAATCACAATTAATCGGATCACATAATAAACTTAAAGGAAATAATATTAATATGAAGACTATAGTGACCTGCAGGAGGCTCGTCCTCGCTGTCCTGCGCGAGATGCTGCAGTAGGAACTCCTGGAACTCTCCCTTGTTGTCCAGGAGCTGCTGGTAGGATCCCTGCTCGCTGATGCGGCCCTCCTTCATCACCACGATGTGGTCCGTGCGGGGCAGGTAGGATATCGAGTGTGTCACTAGGATGCGGGTCTGTAACAGGCAGGTAGGATATCGAGAGTGTCACTAGGATGCGGGTCTGTAACAGGCAGGTAGGATATCGAGAGTGTCACTAGGATGCGCGTCTGTAACAGGCAGGTAGGATATGGAGTGTGTCACTAGGATGCGTGTCTGTAACAGGCAGGTAGGATATGGAGTGTGTCACTAGGATGCGGGTCTGTAACAGGCAGGTAGTACTTTAACAGGATGCAGGTCTGTAGTAGGATGCAGTTCGGTAGCAGAATGCTTTTACAGACTCATTATGATGCTCCCTTATCTCATCTCTCCTTATGATGCTACCTTATCTCATCTCCCCTTTACAATGTATCCTTATCCCTCCTTTATAATACACCTTTATTCAATCTTCCCTTTAATTATAATGCGTCCTTATCTCATCTCCCCTCTATGATGCACCCTTATCTTATCACGTAAATACCTTATCTCTGAGGATGCCCTGTGCCCCGATGACGCGGTTGAAGATGTGCTTGCCCACGTGGGAGTCGACGGCGCTGAGGGGGTCGTCCAGCAGCTGCACCTCCAGGCCCGAGTACACGGCGCGCGCCAGCGACACGCGCTGCTTCTGGCCCCCACTCAGGTTAATGCCCTGGTGATAGTGGTGATAGTGGTGACAATATAATATATGACTTATGAATAATGGACGCTCAGGTTAAAGCCCTGACAACAGTCATGATAGTGGTGATAGTGATGATGGTGATGATAGTGGTGATAGTGATGATAGTGGCGATTGTGATGATGGTGGTGATGGAGATGATAGTGATGACGGTGATGATAGAGATGACAATATCATACATTACGGCAGTGATAACAATACCATAGATTACTTACCAATAATGACCGCCCAGGTTGATGCCCTGACACCACAACAATGATAAGAATGATAACAGTGATAACAATGTCGTACATGACTCACTAATAATGACCGCTCAGGTTGATGCCCTGAAGCCATGACATGACGATATGTCATTACAACAGCAATGACACCGACCAACGTTAAGACGCCAGTGATTAGGCTCTAATTGTTGCATATCTTGCATTTTTATCACGGATCATTAACTAACTGCAGCAGCCATGAGTGTGACTGTCACTGATCGCTGCAAGGCACCACAACACCCTTCGTTGGTACCCCAAGTACCAACGAAGTTGTAGGTACCTCAAGTACCTCATCGAAGAAGAGGTCTTCGTCTTCAACGAAGATGAGGTACCTCAAGTACCTCACCACCAACCTCAAGTACCACGATGCGAATGAGGTACCGTTGGTACCTCATTCGCATCGTGTACCTACAGTACCTTAGTTACTCGAGGTATCAACAACATCTAAAGCGAAGGTCCACCAAACTCAAGTACCACGATGCGAATGAGGTACCGTTCGCATCGTGTACCTACAGTACCTTAGTTACCCGAGGTACCTACCACGCAGACACGCACTCATAGTACACGGCGTCCTACATCGTTGCTGCTCCGAACAACAGACGCTGATCACGGCCAGACGGCCGGTGTGAGTACACTTGTACAGTCTGGGTCTGTACAGGGACTGTACAAATTTTGTATAGGGACTGTACAAATTTTGTATAGGGACGGTACAAATTTCGTACAGGGACTGTACAAATTTTGCACAAATTTTGTATAGGGACTGTACAAATTTTGTATAGGGACTGTACAAATTTTGTATAGGGACTGTACAAATTTTGTATAGGGACTGTACAAATTATGTACAAATTTTGTACAGGGACTGTACAAATGCACACACACCGACCGCTTTGCTGTGATCAGCGTCAGGGAAATACCTAAGAACTATATAGTATGCTAGGGAGAGAGGTCTCCCTACTGAGTATTGAGGTCTCTCCCTAGTGAGGAGAGCTAGGGAGACCTAAATAGGCTGTGGCAGTTCTAACTCTATTATTAAATTTACATAAAAAAATAATGCTAACGTTCTTACTTATCAAGGTGAGGTCTCTCCAAACTAGGTGCACAATGAGAAATATGGGTGGGTCTAGATGACTCACTTAGATGAGTCAACCGCAACCAAATAGCGATGAACTTTTTTGATTCACTTGCCTATTTTTGGGTCATACTGAACTATTATTGGAACTATACATTTCAGGTATGACTCACTTGCCAATTTCTGACATTTGCCTAATGACCACTGACCTATTACTACTGACCCTTTAAACTTCAGGTATGACTAACTAGTGGCCTCGAATTGCTTAATTCTCACGCCACAAATAAGTCATACTTTAAATCTAAAGAGCCAGAAGCATAGGTGCGTAAGTGAGTAAAAAAATTCACAAATGAGTCAAAAAAGAACACCGCTATTTGGACGTCGCTTACTCACGTAAGTGGGTCATCCAGACTCACCCATTTCTCCCAGTGTTACTCGTTATAATTTTCATGGGTAACGGATAAAAATTGAGTATTTTCTAATGTTTCTATTAATTATAGGGCGTGGCAGTTTAAATATTTCAATCAATTATTAAATTTAAATGCAAAACGCAACACTGACCTCCCCGATCTTGGTGAGGTCTCCCCCCCGGCAGTATTACAACACGTAAAAAAATAAATTAAATAAAAAACTGGGCAGTTTTAAATCCATCATTTAAATGAAAAAAAAATGTAGAACGCAAGACCGACCTTCTCCCCGATCTCAGTGAGGTCTCCTTCCGGCATTATTACAACACGTAAAAAATAAATTAAATAGAAAACTGGGGCAGTTTTAAATCCATCATATAAATGAAAAAAATAATAATAATAAATGTAGAACGCAAGACCGACCTTCTCCCCGATCTCAGTAAGGTCTCCCCCCGGCAGTATGGCGAGGTCGGGCAGCAGGGCACAGGCGTCCAGAACTTCATTGTATTTCTTCTCGTCGTAGGGCGCGCCGAACAAAATGTTGTCCCTGAGACTGCAGTTCTGGATCCATGCTTGCTGAGGCACGTACGCGATGCGACCCTGGTCATGTCAGTAATATTATTAGTGACAACAATAATGCGTGCCAGTAGTGACAATATTAGTGACATTTTATTGCTAGTGCGTGCCCGCAGTGACAATATTAGTGACATTTTATTGCTAGTGCGTGCCAGCAGTAACAATATTAGTGACATTTTATTGCTAGTGCGTGCCAGCAGTGACAATATTAGTGACATTTTATTGCTAGTGCGTGCCAGCAGTAACAATATTAGTGACATTTTATTGCTAGTGCGTGCCAGCAGTAACAATATTAGTGACATTTTATTGCTAGTGCGTGCCAGCAGTAACAATATTAGTGACATTTTATTGCTAGTGCGTGCCAGCAGTGACATTATTAGCAAAATTCTAATGCTAATCAGCCCTTCCGATGCCCATCTAAAATACCCCTTCAAAACATAACAATGTTCAGCATACAATCTATGTTGCACATTGCATTGGTGAGAATGGAATTATCGAAGACAAGAATATGATATTAGAGGCGAGTATTAACATTTAGAACGAAGGTTCAGCTAATCTTATAGTGACTGCTCGCTGTTGCTCGATGACGCGTGTGATGCACCTGGTCGTAACGCTAAGCGCCACCAGACATTATCCATACCAAGTCTGATGACAATGTATATGATGACAAGTCTGATAGTTTTACTGATATCGTATAGCTTATTTGTATGTTGAACATTATTTATGATGTCGTGTCTTGTCCTCCATATTGTTGACATCAGAACTAATCACTAATTTTATAAACCTTCCAGTATAATAGATCCAAGTCCAGCTACACTACAACCAGGAACATAACTACCCTCATGTTCCCACCACTTGAACACACTACAACATTGTATTCCCGCCACTTGAACAGCTACCACAAATATAACGAGGTAGGAGATCGATGAATCTTAAGATATGGTGATAAACATATTAAAATTGTCAGTTCATATCAGGTGAGCCATAGAGGGAAGGTCCACCAGCGTCAGGTCTTTGATCCAACATAATACGTGCATCTTTTCATTAGTAGCCATCATCAATTGCCATTTCCAAAGTACCATCACCAATTTCATCACCCTCATCATCGCCACCCTCACAATCGTCACTATATCCCCGATGAGGCCCCTCACCTGAATGTTGACTTTGCCAGTCCTCTTCTCCATATCACCGAGCATGGCGGAGCAGAGGGAGGTCTTGCCCGCCCCCACAGTCCCTACGATGGCAACCAGGGCCCCTGGCTTCACCTTCAAGTTGATATCCTTCAGGATGAGCTCGTCTTCAGCGTCGTGACCCCACGCGAACGAACCGTTCTGAACCTCAATAGTCGAACCTGTCACGGGGCAGTGGTGCTATAACGGGGCAGTGATGGCGCTATAACGGGACAGTGGTGGCGCTATAACGGGGCAGTGGTGGCGCTATAACGGGGCAGTGGTGGCGCTATAACGGGAGAGTGATGCTGCTATAACGGGGCAATGGTGCGCACTAGCAGCACCAGCACTGGCAACACACCTGGTAGAGGCTCCCTGGACACAGCGCTGGGGTCGAGCTCGTCCAAGTTCAGGAATTTATTGAGGCGCTTCAGGGAGACGTTCGCCTGAGCCGGGGGAGGGGGCGAGTGGGGGGGCGTTAGAAGGGCTCATAGTGTCATAGTTCATAGTCGTGTGACTGTGACACAGTCTTTGTTATAAAACATTTAATGCAGATTTAAGAAACTCCCTATATATTCATGACACGTATGAAACAGTCTATGAAACGCAATAAATTGTTTCATTCAAGCCTTACTATGTCTAGTCATAGACAGAAATATTATATCATTGTAAGGATATATAAATCTTATATATGCAGTTCAATATCAGAAATATTTCAGAGTATTTCACGGAAGCAAACAACAGACAACTACAACTGGCAAAATCAACGCTGTACATACGGAAACTTGAATTAAAAATCACAATTTTATTCTACCCACAATATAAATTATTTTACATATTATATTATAAATTATTAAATCACAATTGTTTATATCATAGCTTATATTACTAGGATTTGGCCCAACATAATGAATAAATAAGATACACACAACGGTGTACAATCATACGTCCCACATGAATACACATTCATTTACATACAAGATACGTTCATACACCACGTGACATACGTGACATGGCTCATGCAATAGGTTAAATTGACGATGATAGATTAAAATGTATAGTGGAGTAAATGAATGATAGAGGTAAAATGTCAGGAAATGTAATTACGAATGTGTTGAATGCGTCGTTTGATTCACACATAAAACTCGGTAAATTGTACACAGGACCGAGCTCTGCACACATGTTGACCTCAATGATTTCGCTCTGTATATATTGTATATTATACACAGAATTGATGATCCTGATATCTTGTACTCAATCACACAGCAATCATACGAGTCACTCACACAATAATACAGAATCCAAGCGAAAATGATTAAAGCAGAGGTGATAAAAGCGAGTATAAGATATGAACAAATTAAGCAAAAAGATAGTGTCAAGATATAAGCAATAACACGAAGGTAAAAGAATAGTTATAATAATAACACACGCGAAAGTTATTCAAAATAATTAAAATGCGGGCCATAAGAAAAGAACTCACATGCAGCTCATGTACAATAATACTAAAAAATCATGCAAATCAGTGTCGAAAATCTTCAAAGTTAATCAAAACGTAAAACGAAGCGGCGAGTCATATAAGCCTTAAATTGCATACATCTCATTCATTTTTTTATAGACATATACGAGCATTAAGCTTCCTCTGTAAGTCGTTTGTATATCATAGACTCCCCTTTCAATAAATTATTGAATTAAAATCTCTTCATTACTAAACGGGACAGATAATTCATAAGAAATGAACTAGCAAATCAAACTAGCAGCGCAACAATTATTCGTCATCAAATTATTCTAATTCAAAACCTGGCAAAAAACTCAAGTAAGCGTGTAAAATGCGATGCCTTTGACTGATGATATCAGCCTGAAGGCAAAATGAAGCAAAGTAAAATATAATATTTAACAATTATACAATAAATAATTTTAGGAATAGGCAATTAAGAATCTTAGGCGTTTTAGGAGGCTTGTTAAATGCTTGGCTACCCATAATTCGACCATGATTTGGTCACTGAAGGCGAATTTGGAAGAAACTGTTGAGCTTCTGGAACCTTAATTCAAACTTAATTCAAGATTAATACAAAGATCATCTTAAAATCAATTGAATTGTTGATCATGAGGACCTATTCAAATAAACTAATAATAGGTAAAAATGAACACTAGGGTGTTAGTACAAAAAACAAATGTAAAACAAGAACATGCAGGACGAAAGGTAGAATCCATACTAAATCAACTGTAAATTAGGCAAAAACAACAGACTTCAGCGAACAAAATAACCATTTTATTTAAATGAAAAAATTCTTTAAGAAACCATTCAAATCTAACGACCAGCCTCAGCGAAAATGGTGACCTCGAGATCGAGACGAATGAGCTGTTTGGTTTTGATAAAAAAATATGTGGACTTAGAAAAAATATTTTTATAGAATTGCAGAGCCCTCATCAGTAGCACCGAGACTAATGAAACAAAATCAAATTCAAAATATTCAACTTAAGTGAGAACTTTAACTTAAAAACCCAATCATGTACAAACTGATAAAGCCAACGACCAACGATTAAAAAATAAATTTGGAGCTCATTGAAGAATAATCGAATCAAATAGATCTTTGATCATATAACTATATGAAAATAGATAAACACAAAGAACTCAAAAAGACATAGAACACAGCGGAAGCAAAGATGGAGAATTTGATGAATTTCAAGTAATTCGTTGGACTACAAAAAAGGACCCAGAAAGGAAAAATAAATCAACCTGAGTAACAGATCGAATCAGGCACAAGAAAAGCGGATCTAAATAAAAAGTGAGTAAAGAATGCAATTGTAACATTTATATAAATAAGACTAATTTAATCCAGGGAGTGAAGGAGAAACTGAAATGAAACGGATGGGAAAGGGGGAATGTGACTTTAAATCAGGGAGTAGGAACTAAACAGTCCTGCAGAATGTGAACCGCAAATTCGAACATAATAGAGGGTTAAGTCAGGACTTCAGGGCGCAGGCTTTGCCAAGAACAGAAAGACAAAACTCCAGTAAGATTGAAGGTCTCACAAGACTACTCAGAATAATATTATTCCCTGTGAAATATTTCCACTTTAGAGAGATGGTCATTACCATCCATTGTGCTAGCGATGTAATAGATAACTTAGAGGTAATGAAGGAAACGGAGGGCAGTAAGGAATCTAATTAAAAATCTTTCTTTGGAAGGAGCATAAAAAATAAGTAACATAGCAAGTGAGTAACATAAAAAGCGATTAAGAAAGTAGCAGGCTGGCATATGTCGGCGACAGCGCCCACAGTCGTTCAAGTCGACCACTCAAGCGTGGCAGAGATCTTCGTCGGAACAATTGGTTATCGTTATGATAACCTGTTAACATTATGACAACGCGTTATGCGTTATAACGACATCGCAACAACGTGCGATGGTCTGGCCCATCTCCGTTTAGTCCACAACGAAGTTTAAGAAGGAAAATGTATCTTCTGTGACCAGAATAACTGATGGCCGATTATAAGGTCTTGAGCCAAGTAAGATGGAGATCACTTAAACTCGAGCTTACTGGTGATGATCAAATGTTGCAAGGATTGTGTGTGTGGCTGGTAATGTTGGGTGCAGCCATGGTGGTGACGAAACTCAACTGCTATGATGGATGAGTGAACTATATAGCCGAGATCATGGATGACTGCCACTAGGCCATATGGTGTAATGTGCGGTCTGATAGTATGCCGTGCATGGTTTGGCTGACGAGCATGAGCGCTATTTAGTTATGAATGGATGAGGACAAATCGTTTGGCCGACATTTTGGTCACGCGAACCAAGGCTAAAATTTGACTCTTAGATAGCATAATTAGAGGTCAGAACTAACGGCTCTTTAGACGCTAATGCCTTTACAGTCATCGTGACGTGGTCAGGACATCTGTGACGTGGTCAGGGCATCTGTGACGTGGTTAGGACATCTGTGACGTGGTCAGGGCATCTGTGACGTGGTCAGGACATCTGTGACGTGGTCAGGACATCTGTGACGTGGTCAGGGCATGTGTGACGTGGTCAGGACATCTGTGACGTGGTCAGGGCATGTGTGACGTGGTCAGGACATCTGTGACGTGGTCAGGACATCTGTGACGCGTGACATTGCAACACCGCTGTACACAACTGTCAAATGAAGAATGTGACGTGGTCAGGACATCTGTGACGTGGTCAGGACATCTGTGACGTGGTCAGGACATGTGTGACGTGGTCAGGACATCTGTGACGTGTCACATGAAGACGCGAGGTGAAATCCCAGCATTGAAAAAGTAAGCCTCGAAAGTTCTTTGATAATTGAATGATGATTGTACTTCTTTTTTAAATCCGACATGCCCCTAACCATGACACTAGTGTGAAGTTGTTTACATGTAGAGTTGTTTATATGAGAAGTTGTTTCCATGTGAAATTTTTTTTATGAGAAGTAATTGGCGTCGGAGAAGGGAAATGTTTGCATTTGGGCATGAAGGTTAATACAAAAAGCTATAATTTAAGCTGAAATTGACAAGTGTGGAAAGTAATATGCTAGGGGGAAGAAAAAATACATTATCCTCAGCGTCTTAAGGCAGAGGATGGATGTCGATCAGTCGTTTGGCTCAAGTCAGATCTCTGGACTGAGCAAGTCGTTCCGACTGGCGGATTAAGTCGTTCATGTGATACAAGTCTCCTCAGGCAAGAAGTCATTTGCAACAACCACGCCAGATCTCTCATTCTTGCAAGTCGCAGCTAAATGGCAGAACAAATCAATGAATGATCTCTCACTCTTGCAAGTCGCAGCTAAATGGCAGAACAGATCAATGAATGTTACCTGAATAAGGCTGGTGATAAGCATGGGCAGCATTGCGATGGGGAAGCGGAGAAGGTTGAAGAGAGAAATAGAGACAAAGATAACGCTCGAGCTGAAATCCTCGTTAACTAAGACGTAGACTGCAAAGGAGGCTAGGGAGACCTGTGAGTAAACATACGAACAAGCTAAACAACTTGAATCAACTTTAACGCAATAAAATAGGGAGATTTACAACACCAATACCAATTCTTCGGCCAGTTCCGAAGTGCAGGTATAGTACCACTCACAGAGAACAGGTAGCACCTGTTTTATCAACAGGTGATACCAATTTTAGAAGGCAGGTAGTATCTGTCTTTTAGCAAGAAGGTCCTACATGTTCAATACAACCATTATATAGTATTTAACCCCTCCAGTAAAGCAGGTATGTCCAGTTTCAAGTAATCAGATAATTTCCGAACAACAAATAGTCTGTTCATCAATAAAAAAATGTATTCCAACCAAATTTATGTTGGTGACGGTCTAGATATGGTGGACACTTGACCTGAAGGTGACAATCGCCGGAAATCGAAAACTCCAGATTTCCACCCAATGACCATACAATAAAGTTTCAGTAAGAAATATGGAAATTAATTACAGTATAAAAAGATAATTCAACC